AGTCTGTGAGTGAGTCTCTGTATGAGTCTGTGAGTGAGTCTGTGAGTGAGTGAGTCTGTGAGTGAGTCTGTGAGTGAGTGAGTGAGTCTGTGAGTGAGTCTGTGAGTGAGTCTCTGTGTGAGTCTGTGAGTGAGTCTGTGAGTGAGTGAGTCTGTGAGTGAGTCTGTGAGTGAGTCTCTGTGTGAGTCTGTGGGTGAGTCTGTGAGTGAGTCTGTGAGTCTCTTAGTGAGTCTGTGAGTCTCTGTGTGAGTCTGTGAGTGAGTCTGTGAGTCTGTGAGTGAGTGAGTCTGTGAGTGAGTCTCTGTGTGAGTCTGTGAGTGAGTCTGTGAGTCTGTGAGGGAGTGAGTGAGTCTGTGAGTGAGTCTGTGAGTGAGTCTCTGTGTGAGTCTGTGAGTGAGTGAGTCTGTGAGTGAGTCTGTGAGTGAGTCTCTGTGTGAGTCTCTGTATGAGTCTCTGAGTGAGTATCTGTGTGAGTCTGTGAGTGAGTCTGTGAGTGAGTCTGTGAGTGAGTCTCTGAGTGAGTCTGTGAGTGAGTCTCTGAGTGAGTCTGTGTAAGTCTCTGAGTGAGTCTCTGTGTGAGTCTGTGAGTGAGTATGTGAGTGAGTCTCTGAGTGAGTCTGTGAGTGAGTCTGTGAGTGAGTCTGTGAGTGAATTTCTGCGTGAGACTGTGAGTGAGTCTCTGAGTGAGTCTCTGTGTGAGTCTGTGAGTGAGTCTGTGAGTCTGTGAGTGAGTGAGTCTGTGAGTGAGTCTCTGTGTGAGTCTGTGAGTGAGTCTGTGAGTCTGTGAGGGAGTGAGTGAGTCTGTGAGTGAGTCTGTGAGTGAGTCTCTGTGTGAGTCTGTGAGTGAGTGAGTCTGTGAGTGAGTCTGTGAGTGAGTCTCTGTGTGAGTCTCTGTATGAGTCTCTGAGTGAGTATCTGTGTGAGTCTGTGAGTGAGTCTGTGAGTGAGTCTGTGAGTGAGTCTCTGAGTGAGTTTCTGTATGAGTCTATGTGTGAGTCTCTGAGTGAGTCTCTGTGTGAGTCTGTGAGTGAGTATGTGAGTGAGTCTCTGAGTGAGTCTGTGAGTGAGTCTGTGAGTGAGTCTGTGAGTGAATTTCTGCGTGAGACTGTGAGTGAGTCTCTGAGTGAGTCTCTGTGTGAGTCTGTGAGTGAGTCTGTGAGTCTGTGAGTGAGTCTGTGAATGAGTCTGTGAGTGAGCCTCTGTGTGAGTCTGTGAGTGAGTCTGTGAGTGAGTCTGTGAGTGAGTGAGTGAGTCTGTGAGTGAGTCTCTGAGTGAGGCTTTGAGTGAGTCTCTGAGTGAGTCTCTGAGTGAGTCTCTGTGTGAGTCTCTGAGTGAGTCTCTGTGTGAGTCTGTGAGTGAGTCTCTGAGTCTGTGAGTGAGTCTGTGAGTGAGTCTCTGAGTGAGTCTCTGTGTGAGTCTCTGTATGAGTCTCTGAGTGAGTCTCTGTGTGAGTCTGTGAGTGAGTCTCTGAGTGAGTCTCTGAGTGAGTTCGTGAGTGAGTCTGTGAGTGAGTCTCTGTGTGAGTCTGTGAGTGAGTCTGTGAGTGAGTCTGTGAGTGAGTGAGTGAGTCTGTGAGTGAGTCTCTGAGTGAGTCTTTGAGTGAGTCTCTGAGTGAGTCTCTGAGTGAGTCTCTGTGTGAGTCTCTGAGTGAGTCTCTGTGTGTGTCTGTGAGTGAGTCTCTGAGTGAGTGAGTGAGTCTGTGAGTGAGTCTGTGAGTGAGTCTCTGAGTGAGTCTCTGTGTGAGTCTCTGTATGAGTCTCTGAGTGAGTCTCTGTGTGAGTCTGTGAGTGAGTCTCTGAGTGAGTCTCTGAGTGAGTCTGTGAGTGAGTCTATGAGTGAGTCTCTGAGTGAGTCTGTGAGTGAATCTCTGAGTGAGTTTGTGAGTTAGTCTGTGGGTGAGTCTGTGAGTGATTCTATGTGTGAGTCTCTGAGTGAGTCTCTGAGTGAGTCTTGAGTGAGTCTCTGAGTGAGTCTCTGAGTGAGTCTGTGGGTGAGTCTGTGAGTGATTCTATGTGTGAGTCTCTGAGTGAATCTCTGAGTGAGTCTGTGAGTGAGTCTGTGAGTGAGTCTCTGATTGAGTCTATGTGTGAGTCTGTGAGTGAGTCTGTGAGTGAGTCTCTGAGTGAGTCTTTGAGTCGGTGTGTGAGTGAGTCTCTGAGTGAGTCTGTGAGTGAGTCTCTGAGTGAGTCTGTGAGTCGGTGTGTGAGTCTCTGAGTGAGGCTGTGAGTGAGTCTCTGAGTGATTCTCTGAGTGAATCTCTGAGTAAGTCTGCGAGTGAGTCTCTGAGTGAGTCTCAGAGTGAGTCTGTGAGTGAGTCTCTGAGTGAGTCTGTGAGTGAGTCTGTGAGTGAGTCTCTGAATGAGTCTCTGAGTGAGTCTGTGGGTGAGTCTGTGAGTGATTCTATGTGTGAGTCTCTGAGTGAGTCTCTGAGTGAGTCTGTGAGTGAGTCTGTGAGTGAGTCTCTGAGTGAGTCTCTGTGTGAGTCTGTGAGTGAGTCTGTGAGTGAGTCTCTGAGTGAGTCTGTGAGTCGGTGTGTGAGTGAGTCTCTGAGTGAGTCTGTGAGTGAGTCTCTGAGTGAGTCTGTGAGTCGGTGTGTGAGACTCTGAGTGAGTCTGTGAGTGAGTCTGTGGGTGAGTCTCTGAGTGAGTCTGTGAGTGAGTCTCTGAGTGAGTCTCTGAGTGAGTCTCTGAGTGAGTCTGTGAGTGAGTCTGTGAGTGAGTCTGTAAGTCGGTGTGTGAGTCTGTACGTCTCTGTGAGTCTCTGTGCATTGGTATAGCGGCCTCTTGTGGCGAATGCTCTGTACTGCATTACATCGAGATCAGCGTCACTCACTCACTCACCCACTCACTCGCCCACTCACTCATCCACTCACCCACCCAGTTACTCACCCAGTTACTCACCCACTCACTCACTCACCCACCCACTCATTCATTCACCCACTCACTCACCCACCCACTCACTCACTCGCCCACTTACTCACCCACTCACCCACCCACTCACCCACCCAGTTACTCACTCACTCACCCACTCACTCACCCACTCACTCACCCACTCACTCACTTACTCACCCACCCACTCACTCACCCACCCACCCACTCACTCACCCACTCACTCACCCACTCACTCACCCACTCACTCACTTACTCACCCACTCACTCATCCACTCACTCACTTAATCACCTACTTACTCACCCACTCACCCACTCACTCACCCACTCACTCACCCACTCACTCACTCACCCACTCACTCACTCACTCACCCACTCACTCACTCACGCACTCACTCACCCACTCACTCACCCACTTATCCACCCACTCACCCACCCAGTTACTCACCCACTCACTCACTCACCCACTCACTCACTCACTCACCCACTCACTCACTCACGCACTCACTCACCCACTCACTCACCCACTTATCCACCCACTCACCCACCCAGTTACTCACCCACTCACTCACTCACCCACTCATTCACTCACCCACTCACTCACTCACCCACTCACTCACCCACTCACTCACTCACCAACTCACTCACTCACCCACCCACTCACTTACTCACCTACTTACTCACCCACCCATAGACTTCAATGTTAAAGGCTCCCATAGACTTCAATGTCTAATCCCTATTAGATTACATTGCCAAGTACCCGGATGTCCATTCCCCTATTAGATTACATTGCAAAGTACCCGGATGTCCAATCCCCTATTAGATTACATTGCCTAGTACCCGGATGTCCAATCCCCTATTAGATTACATTGCCTAGTACCCGGATGTCCAATCCCCTATTAGATTACATTGCCAAGTACCCGGATGTCCAATCCCCTATTAGATTACATTGCAAAGTACCCGTATGTCCAATCCCCTATTAGATTACATTGCCTAGTACCCAGATGTCCAATCCCCTATTAGATTACATTGCCAAGTACCCGGAAGTCCAATCCCCTATTAGATTACATTGCAAAGTACCCGGATGTCCAATCCCTTATTAGATTGCATTGCCTAGTACCCGGATGTCCAATCCCCTATTAGATTACATTGCCTAGTACCCGGATGTCCAATCCCCTATTAGATTACATTGCAAAGTACCCGGATGTCCAATCTCCTATTAGATTACATTGTCTAGTACCCGGATGTCCAATCCCCTATTAGATTACATTGCAAAGTACCCGGATGTCCAATCCCCTATTAGATTACATTGCCTAGTACCCGGATGTCCAATCCCCTATTAAATTACATTGCCTAGTACCCGGATGTCCAATCCCCTATTAGATTACATTGCAAAGTACCCGGATGTCCAACCCCCTATTAGATTACATTGCCTAGTACCCGGATGTCCAATCCCCTATTAGATTACATTGCCTAGTACCCAGATGTCCAATCCCCTATTAGATTACATTGCCAAGTACCCGGAAGTCCAATCCCCTATTAGATTACATTGCAAAGTACCCGGATGTCCAATCCCCTATTAGATTACATTGCAAAGTACCCGGATGTCCAACCCCCTATTAGATTACATTGCCTAGTACCCGGATGTCCAATCCCCTATTAGATTACATTGCCTAGTACCCAGATGTCCAATCCCCTATTAGATTACATTGCCAAGTACCCGGAAGTCCAATCCCCTATTAGATTACATTGCAAAGTACCCGGAAGTCCAATCCCCTATTAGATTACATTGCAAAGTACCCGGATGTCCAATCCCCTATTAGATTGCATTGCCTAGTACCCGGATGTCCAATCCCCTATTAGATTACATTGCCTAGTACCCGGATGTCCAATCCCCTATTAGATTACATTGCCTAGTATCCGGATGTCCAATCTCCTATTAGATTACATTGCCTAGTACCCGGATGTCCAATCCCCTATTAGATTACATTGCCTAGTACCCGGATGTCCAATCCCCTATTAGATTACATTGCCAAGTACCCGGATGTCCAATCCCCTATTAGATTACATTGCAAAGTGTCCCGGATGTCCAATCCCCTATTAGATGACATTACCTAGTACCCGGATGTCTAATCCCCTATTAGAATACATTGCCAAGTACCCGGATGTCCAATCCCCTATTAGATTACATTGCAAAGTACCCGGATGTCCAATCCCCTATTAGATTACATTGCAAAGTACCCGGATGTGCAACCCCCCAAATAGATTGCATTGCCGAGTACCCGGATCTTGAAGGAACCGGTTCCGGTTTGGCGCCAAATCATCCCTAAGTCGCTTTCGTGAGGTAAAAAGCGACATTTACAAGATCGTTCAACTCGCAAATATTTGCACGAAAACTCATTGATTAGCAATTAGATTTTGTTCGCTTGCAAAAATTAATCGTTCAAGAATTAATAAGCGCCGAGGAGCGAGGCGGCCGTGGCGTTATGGGGGGGGTGGTTGGTGAGGAGGTTGTTTAGGCCTCAGCCTCGGTGCTCGCCTGGATCTCAGGCCCGGCTCGGTGGCCCGGAGTCGCTAGGCGAGACCGTGGTCCCCTAACGTGAGGCGAGGCCTGGTGATTACAGCTTACTCCGAAGTTAACATTGGTACACTTGCAATGATATTTTTTTTATATTACTCGTGGGTTATAGGCTTTAATTGTGACGTTGCCGTGCTTTAAACATTGTTATTTGTGTTCTAATAGCGGTTAACAGACGCGAATTATTGTACCGTACACACACGAGACAACGCTGCCCTGTGTAGCCTCGTGCAGGCTGTAGGGGCGAGTGATGTTAGCTAAGGGATGGGTGGCCGGCTACATGCACGGCCGCCTTTGTCTCTCCTCGAATGGAATTTCCATGTTTATACAGACACCCAGTCACTCACCCAGCTACTCACCCACCCACTCACTCACCCACCCAGTCACCAACCCACTCACCAACCCACTCACCCAGTCAATCACCCAGCTACTCAACAACCCACTCACCAACCCACTCACCCAGCCACTCACCCACTCACTCACCAACCCACTCACCCAGTCAATCACTCACCCACCCAGTCACTCACCCAGCTACTCACCAACCCACTCACTCACCCACCCAGTCATCAACCCACTCACCCAGCCACTCACCCAGTCAATCACCCAGTAAATCACCCAGCTACTCACCAACCCACTCACCAACCCACTCACCCAGCCACTCACCCACTCACTCACCAACCCACTCACCCACCCACTCACCCACTCACCCACCCAGTCACTCACCAACCCACTCACCCACCCAGTCACCAACCCACTCACCAACCCACTCACCCAGTCAATCACCCAGTCAATCACCCAGCCACTCACCCACCCACTCACACAGCCACTCACCCAGTCAATCACTCACCCACCCAGTCACTCAGCCAGCTACTCACCAACCTACTCACTCACCCACCCAGTCACCAACCCACTCACCAACCCACTCACCCAGTCAATCACCCAGTCAATCACCCAGCCACTCACCCACCCACTCACCCAGCCACTCACCCAGTCAATCACTCACCCACCCAGTCACTCACCTAGCTACTCACCTACCTACTCACTCACCCACCCAGTCACCAACCCACTCACCAACCCACTCACCCAGCCACTCACCCAGTCAATCACCCAGCCACTCAACCCACTCACCCAGCCACTCACCCAGTCACTCACCCAGCCACTCACCCAGTCACTCACCCACCCACTCACCAACCCACTCACTCACCAACCCACTCACCAACCCACTCACCCAGCCACTTACTCACCCAGCCACTTACTCACCCAGCCACTCACCCAGCTACCCACTCACCAACCCACTCACCCACTCACCAACCCACTCACCCAGCCACTCACCCAGTCAATCACTCACCCACCCAGTCACTCACCCAGCTACTCACCAACCTACTCACTCACCCACCCACTCACCAACCCACTCACCAACCCACTCACCCAGCCACTCACCCAGTCAATCACCCACCCACTCACCAACCCACTCACCCAGCCACTCACCCAGTCACTCACCCAGCCACTCACCCAGTCACCCACCCACTCACCAACCCACTCACCAACCCACTCACCAACCCACTCACCCAGCCACTCACCCAGCCACTTACTCACCCAGCTACCCACTCACCCAGCTACCCACTCGCCAACCCACTCACCAACCCACCCACCCACTCACCCACCCACTCACTCACCCACTCACCCAGCAGCTGCCATGGATTGACTGCTGCTGTGCCAGGCTAGGTGCATGAGGAGGAGGTCACGTGACAGACCCTGCAGGTGCCATTGGTTGTACTGCCGTGCCAAGCTAGGTGCAGGAGGTCACGTGACAGACCCTGCAGGTGACATGGGTTGTACTGCTGTGCCAGGCTAGGTGCATGAGGAGGAGGCCACGTGACAGACCCTGCAGGTGCCATTGGTTGTACTGCCGTGCCAAGCTAGGTGCAGGAGGAGGAGGTCACGTGACAGACCCAGCAGGTGCCATGAGTTGACTGCTGCTGCTGCTGTGCCAGGCTAGGTGCATGAGGATGAGGCCACGTGACAGACCCTGCAGGTGCCATGGGTTGTACTGCCGTGCCAGGCTAGGTGCATGAGGAGGAGGCCACGTGACAGACCCTGCAGGTGCCATGGGTTTGTACTGCCGTGCCAGGCTAGGTGCATGAGGAGGAGGCCACGTGGACAGACCCTGCAGGTGCCATTGGTTGTACTGCTGTGCCAGGCTAGGTGCATGAGGAGGAGGCCACGTGACAGACCCTGCAGGTGCCATTGGTTGTACTGCCGTGCCAGGCTAGGTGCATGAGGAGGAGGCCACGTGACAGACCCTGCAGGTGCCATTGGTTGTACTGCCGTGCCAGGCTAGGTGCATGAGGAGGAGGCCACGTGACAGACCCTGCAGGTGCCATGGGTTGTACTGCCGTGCCAGGCTAGGTGCATGAGGAGGAGGCCACGTGACAGACCCTGCACGTGCCATTGGTTGTACTGCCGTGCCAGGCTAGGTGCATGAGGAGGAGGCCACGTGACAGACCCTGCAGGTGCCATGGGTTGTACTGCCGTGCCAGGCTAGGTGCATGAGGAGGAGGCCACGTGACAGACCCTGCACGTGCCATTGGTTGTACTGCCGTGCCAGGCTAGGTGCATGAGGAGGAGGCCACGTGACAGACCCTGCAGGTGCCATTGGTTGTACTGCCGTGCCAGGCTAGGTGCATGAGGAGGAGGCCACGTGACAGACCCTGCAGGTGCCATTGGTTGTACTGCCGTGCCAGGCTAGGTGCAGCTCCACCTCCTGTGCCCCCTCCCTCCCCACCCCACCCGTGCCAACTTCCCGCCCCCTTAAATCTCTCCTCCCCTCCCCCCGTTGTGTTTGCGAGCGTAGCTCCTCCGCCCTCGGTAGCTGTAGCATGCGGACCACCTTCCAGCCGCCCCAGCCAGGGGCCTCGCCCCCGTGCATCCAGCCTGGCACCGCCCGGCAGTCACGAGCCTCCTCCTCCTCCGCTGACTGACCTCTCTCTCTCTCTCCGTGTCTCTGTGTGTCTCTGTGTGTCTCCGTGTGTCTCCGTGTGTGTGTCTGTGGGTCTCTGTGTGTCTCTGTGTGTGTCTGTGTGTCTCTGTGTGTGTCTGTGTGTCTCTGTGTGTCTCTGTGTGTCTGTGGGTGTCTGTGTGTCTCTGTGTGTGTCTGTGTGTGTGTGTGTCTCTCTGTGTGTCTCTGTGTGTCTCTCTCCGTGTCTCTGTGTGTCTCTGTGTGTCTCTGTGTGTCTCTCTGTGTGTCTCTGTGTGTCTCTGTGGGTCTCTGTGGGTCTCTGTGTGTCTGTGTGTGTCTGTGTGTCTCTGTGTGTCTCTGTGTGTCTCTCTGTGTGTCTCTCTGTATGTCTCTCTGTGTGTCTCTCTGTGTGTCTCTGTGTGTGTCTCTGTGTGTCTCTGTGTGTCTGTGTGTGTCTCTCTGTGTGTCTCTGTGTGTCTCTGTGTGTCTCTCTCCGTGTCTCTGTGTGTCTCTGTGTGTCTCTGTGTGTCTCTCTGTGTGTCTCTGTGTGTCTTTGTGGGTCTCTGTGGGTCTCTGTGTGTCTGTGTGTGTCTGTGTGTCTCTGTGTGTCTCTCTGTGTGTCTCTCTGTATGTCTCTCTGTGTGTCTCTCTGTGTGTCTCTGTGTGTGTCTCTCTGTATGTCTCTCTGTGTGTCTCTCTGTGTGTCTCTGTGTGTGTCTCTGTGTGTGTCTGTGTGTCTCTGTGTGTCTCTGTGTGTCTCTCTGTGTGTCTCTGTGTGTCTGTGTGTGTGTCTCTGTGTGTGTCTCTGTGTGTCTCTGTGGGTCTCTGTGGGTCTCTGTGTGTCTCTGTGTGTCTCTCTGTGTGTCTCTGTGTGTCTCTGTGTGTCTCTGTGTGTGTCTCGGTGTGTCTCTGTGTGTGTCTGTGTGTCTCTGTGTGTCTCTGTGTGTCTCTGTGTGTCTCTCTCCGTGTCTCTGTGTGTCTCTGTGTGTCTCTCTGTGTGTCTCTGTGTGTCTTTGTGGGTCTCTGTGGGTCTCTGTGTGTCTGTGTGTGTCTGTGTGTCTCTGTGTGTCTCTGTGTGTCTCTCTGTGTGTCTCTCTGTATGTCTCTCTGTGTGTCTCTCTGTGTGTCTCTGTGTGTGTCTCTGTGTGTCTCTGTGTGTGTCTGTGTGTCTCTGTGTGTCTCTGTGTGTGTCTCTCTGTATGTCTCTCTGTGTGTCTCTCTGTGTGTCTCTGTGTGTGTCTCTGTGTGTCTCTGTGTGTGTCTGTGTGTCTCTGTGTGTCTCTGTGTGTCTCTCTGTGTGTCTCTGTGTGTCTCTGTGTGTGTCTCTGTGTGTCTCTGTGTGTCTCTGTGGGTCTCTGTGGGTCTCTGTGTGTCTCTGTGTGTCTCTCTGTGTGTCTCTGTGTGTCTCTGTGTGTCTCTGTGTGTGTCTCGGTGTGTCTCTGTGTGTGTCTGTGTGTCTCTGTGTGTCTCTGTGTGTCTCTGTGGGTCTCTGTGGGTCTCTGTGTGTCTCTGTGTGTGTCTCTGTGTGTGTCTCTGTGTGTGTCTCTGTGTGTCTCTGTGTGTCTCTGTGTCTCTGTGTGTCTCTGTGTGTCTCTGTGTGTGTCTCGGTGTGTCTCGGTGTGTCTCTGTGTGTCTCTGTGTGTGTCTGTGTGTCTCTCCGTGTCTCTGTGTGTCTCCGTGTGTCTCTGTGTGTCTCCGTGTGTCTCCGTGTGTCTCCGTGTGTCTCTGTGTGTCTCTGTGTGTGTCTGTGGGTCTCTGTGTGTCTCTGTGTGTGTGTGTCTCTGTGTGTCTCTGTGTGTGTCTGTGTGTGTGTCTCTGTGTGTCTCTGTGTGTCTCTGTGTGTCTCTGTGTGTCTGTGTGTCTCTGTGTGTCTCTGTGTGTCTCTCTGTGTGTATGTCTCTGTGTGTCTCTGTGTGTCTCTGTGTGTGTCTCTGTGTGTCTCTGTGTGTGTCTCTGTGTGTCTCTGTGTGTCTCTGTGTGTCTTTGTGTGTCTCTGTGTGTCTCTGTGTGTGTCTCTGTGCGTCTCTGTGTGTCTCTGTGTGTCTCTGTGTGTCTCTGTGTGTGTCTCTGTGTGTCTCTGTGTGTCTCTGTGTGTCTCTGTGTCTCTCTGTGTGTCTCTGTGTGTGTCTCTGTGTGTGTCTCTGTGTGTGTCTCTGTGTGTGTCTCTGTGTGTCTCTGTGTGTGTCTCTGTGTGTGTCTCTGTGTGTGTCTCTGTGTGTGTCTCTGTGTGTCTGTGTGTCTCTGTGTGTCTCTGTGTGTGTCTGTGTGTGTCTGTGTGTCTCTGTGTGTGTCTGCGTGTCTCTGCGTGTCTCTGTGTGTGTCTCTGTGTGTGTCTGTGTGTCTCTGTGTGTGTCTGCGTGTCTCTGTGTGTCTCTGTGTGTCTCTGTGTGTCTCTCTCTCTCCGTGTCTCTGTGTGTCTCTGTGTCTGCGTGTCTCTGTGTGTCTCTGTGTGTCTCCGTGTGTCTCCGTGTGTCTCTGTGTGTCTCTGTGTGTGTCTCTCTCTCTCTCTCCGTGTCTCTGTGTGTCTGTGTGTGTCTCCGTGTCTCTGTGTGTGTCTGTGTGTCTCTGTGTGTCTCTGTGTGTGTCTCTGCGTGTCTCTGCGTGTCTCTGTGTGTCTCTGTGTGTCTCCGTGTGTCTCTGTGTGTCTCTGTGTGTCTCTGTGTCTCTCTGTGTGTCTCTGTGTGTCTCTCTGTGTCTCTGTGTGTCTTTCTCTCTCTGTGTCTCTGTGTGTCTCTGTGTGTCTCTGTGTGTCTCTGTCTCTCTCTCTCTCCGTGTCTCTGTGTGTCTCTCTGTGTCTCTCTCTCTCTCTGTGTCTCTGTGTGTCTCTGTGTGTCTCTGTGTGTCTCTGTCTCTCTCTCTCTCCGTGTCTCTGTGTGTCTCCGTGTGTCTCCGCGTGTCTCCGTGTGTCTCTGTGTGTCTCTGTGTGTCTCTGTGTGTCTCTGTGTGTCTCTCTGTGTCTCTGTGTGTCTCTCTCTCTCTCCGTGTCTCTGTGTGTCTCTGTGTGTCTCTGTGTGTCTCTGTCTCTCTCTCTCTCTCTCCGTGTCTCTGTGTGTCTCTGTGTGTCTCTCTGTGTGTCTCCGTGTGTCTCTGTGTGTCTCCGTGTGTCTCTGTGTGTCTCTCCGTGTCTCTGTGTGTCTCTCCGTGTGTCTCTGTGTGTCTCTGTGTGTCTCTCTCTCCGTGTCTCTGTGTGTGTGTCTCCGTGTGTCTCTGTGTGTGTCCCAGGCCCCCTGCCAAGGGTGTTGCCGGTGAGTTGGCGTGCAGGGGCGGCGGTGCGTCGCCGTTCAGCGGCGCCTAGGTGGGGCCCAGGCTGCGCCATGGACGACCGGAGAGTGAACGCCGAGTTCTACGAGCAGCTACAGCTGCTGCAGCAGCAGCAGCAGCAGCAGCAGGAGGAGGCGGGGGAGCAGGCGGGGCCCCTGATCCGCGTGGATCCCACGGACGGAGCGGAGTACGAGTGGGATTCCCAGCGTCAGGCCTGGTTCCCCAGGGTGAGTGGGTGGGTGAGTGGGTGGGAGAGTGAGTGGGTGGGTTGGTGGGTGAGTGGGTGGGTGAGTGGGTGAGTGGGTGAGTGGGTGAGTGGGTGGGTGGGTGGGTGAGTGAGTGAGTAGGTGGGTGGGTGGGTGAGTGGGTGGGTGAGAGAGAGATGTCAGTGTGTGTGAGTGGGTGAGTGAGTTGATTCTGTCTCTTGTCGCCTCCGTTATGGGCCTCTATGTGGAGACTCACTCACCCACCCACTCACTCATTCACTCACTCACCCACTCACCCACTCACCCACCCACTCACTCATTCACTCACTCACTCACTCACCCACTCACCCACCCACTCACTCATTCACTCACTCACTCACCCACTCACCCACTCACCCACCCACTCACTCATTCACTCACTCACTCACTCACCCACTCACTCACCCAATCACTCACTCACCCACCCACTCACTCACCCACCCACCCACCCACTCACTCATTCACTCACTCACTCACTCACCCACTCACTCACCCACTCACTCACTCACCCACCCACTCACTCATTCACTCACTCACCCACTCACCCACCCACTCACTCATTCACTCACTCACTCACCCACTCACCCACTCATCCACCCACTCACTCATTCACTCACTCACTCACTCACCCACTCACTCACTCACCCACCCACTCACTCACTCACCCACCCACCCACTCACTCATTCACTCACTCACTCACCCACTCACTCACCCACTCACTCACTCACCCACCCACTCACTCATTCACTCACTCACCCACTCACCCACTCACCCACCCACTCACTCATTCACTCACTCACTCACCCACTCACCCACTCACCCACCCACTCATTCACTCACTCACTCACTCACCCACTCACTCACCCACTCACTCACTCACCCACCCACTCACTCACTCACCCACCCACCCACCCACTCACTCATTCACTCACTCACTCACTCACCCACTCACTCACCCACTCACTCACTCACCCACCCACTCACTCACTCACCCACCCACCCACCCACCCACTCACTCACTCACCCACCCACCCACCCCCTCACACACTCACCCACCCACCCACTCACTCACTCACTCACCCACCCACCCACCCACTCACTCACTCACTCACCCACCCACCCATTCACTCACCCACCCACTCACTCACCCACCCACCCACTCACTCACCCACCCACTCACTCACTCACCCACCCACTCACCCACTCACCCACCACTCACCCACCCACCCACTCACCCACCCACCCACTCACCTACTCACCCACCCACCCACTCAGCTACTCACCCACCCACCCACCCACTCACCCACCCACCCACTCACCCACCCACTCACCCACCCACACACTCACCCACCCACTCACTCACCCACCCACCCACTCACCCACCCACTCACCCACCCACCCACTCACCTACTCACTCACCCACCCACTCACCTACTCACCCACCCACTCACCCACCCACTCACTCACCCACTCACTCACCCACCCATTCACTCACCCACCCACCCACCCATTCACTCACCCACCCACTCACTCACTCATTCACTCACTCACCCACTCACCCACCCACTCACCCACTCACTCACTCACCCACCCACTCACTCACCCACCCACTCACTCACCCACTCACTCACCCACTCACCCACCCACCCACCCACTCACCCACTCACTCATCCACCCACTCCCCCATCCACCCACCCTCCAATCTCTGAGGCTTGTCTCCCCCTACCCCTCCCCCCCTCTCCCCACCCCAGGTGACCGATGACCTCATCCTGGCCTTCCAGACCAACTACGGCAACTTCACCCCCACCGCTGCGGCGGGGGAGGGGCCGAGCGGGGTGTCGGCGGGGGTGGGGCCTGGAGGCAGGGGGGCGGGGCCCGGTAAAGAAGGGGAGGGGACTCGTGGCAGGGGGGTGGGCCCCAGGGGCAGGGGGGTGGGGCCTGCCGGCAGAGGGGCGGGGCCTGTGGGCAGGGGGGCGGGGCCGAAGGGGGAGAAGAGGAAGGGATCTGAAGCTGGTGAGTGGGTGGGTGGGTTGGTGGGTGGGTGGGTGGGTTGGTGGGTGGGTTGGTGGATGGGTGGGTGGGTTGGTGGATGGGTGGGTGGGTGGATGGGTGGGGTGGGTGTGTGGGTGGGTGGGTTGGTGGATGGGTGGGTGGGTGGATGGGTGGGTGGGTGTGTGGGTGGGTGGGTTGGTGGATGGGTGGGTGGGTGGATGGGTGTGTGGATGTGTGGGTGTGTGGGTGGGTGTGTGGGTGGGTGGATGGGTGGGTGGGTGTGTATGGGTGGGTGGGTGTGTGGGTGGATGGGTGGGTGGGTGGGTGGGTGTGTGGGTGGATGGGTGGGTGGGTGTGTGTGTGGGTGGATGGGTGGGTGGGTGGATGGGTGGGTGGGTGGGTGAGTGGGTGAGTGTGTGGGTGTGTGGGTGGGTGGGTGAGTGGGTGGGTGGGTGAGTGAGTGGGTGGGTGGGTGAGTGGGTGGGTGGGTAGGTGAGTGGGTGGGTGAGTGAGTGGGAGGGTGAGTGGGTGGGTGAGTGAGTGGGTGGGTGGGTGAGTGAGTGGGTGAGTGAGTGGGTGGGTGGGTGAGTGGGTGGGTGAGTGAGTGGGTGAGTGAGTGAGTGGGTAGGTGAGTGGGTGGGTGGGTGAGTGAGTGAGTGGGTGGGTGAGTGGGTGAGTGAGTGGGTGGGTGAGTGGGTGAGTGGGTGGGTGGGTGAGTGGGTGGGTGAGTGTGTGGGTGTGTGGGTGGGTGGGTGTGTGGGTGGGTGGGTGTGTGGGTGGTGGTGTGTGTGCGGGGGGGTGGGCGTGTGTGGGTGGGTGTGTGTGTGCTTTGGTGTGGGTGTGGGGGGGTGGGTGAGTGTGTGTGTGGGTGGGTGAGTGGGTGTGTGGGTGGGTGTGTGTGTGGGTGTGTGTGGGTGGGTGGGTGTGGGTGTGTGGGTGGGTGGGTGGGTGTGTGGGTGGGTGGGTGTGTGGGTGGGTGGGTGTGTGGGTGGGTGGGTGGGTGGGTGTGTGGGTGGGTGGGTGTGTGGGTGGGTGGGTGTGTGGGTGTGTGGGTGGGTGGGTGTGTGGGTGTGTGGGTGGGTGGGTGAGTGTGTGGGTGGGTGGGTGTGTGGGTGGGTGGGTGGGTGTTTGGGTGGGTGGGTGGATGGGTGGGTGGATGTGTGGGTGTGTGGGTGGGTGGGTGGGTGTGTGGGTGGGTGGATGGGTGGGTGGGTGTGTATGGGTGGGTGGGTGTGTGGGTGGATGGGTGGGTGGGTGGGTGGGTGTGTGTGGGTGGGTGTGTGGGTGGGTGGATGGGTGGGTGGGTGTGTGTGTGGGTGGATGGGTGGGTGGGTGGATGTGTGGGTGGTGTGTGGGTGGGTGGGTGTGTGGGTGGGTGGGTGTGTGGGGTGGGTGGGTGGGTGGATGGTGGGTGGGTGGGTGTGTGGGTGGGTGTGTGGGTGGGTGGGTGTGTGGGTGGGTGTGTGGGTGGGTTGTGGGGTGGGTGGGTGTGTGGGTGGGTGTGTGGGTGGGTGTGGGGGGGGTGTGTGGGTGTGTGGGTGGGTGTGTGGGTGGGTGTGTGGTGGGTGGTGTGTGGGTGGGTGGGTTGTGGGTGGGAGTGTGGGTGTGTGGGTGGTGGGTGGGTGTGTGGGTGGGTGTGTGGGTGGGTGGGTGTGTGAGTGAGTGGGTGGGTGGATGGGTGTGTGGGTGGGTGGGTGTGTGGGTGGTGGATGGGTGTGTGGCTGGGTGGGTGGATGGGTGTGTGGGTGGGTGGGTGGGTGTGTGGGTGGATGGGTGGTGGATGTGTGGGTGTGTGGGTGGGTGGGTGGATGGGTGGGTGGGTGTGTGGGTGAGTGGGTGGGTGATGGGGTGGGTGGGTGGGTGGTTGAGTGGGTGGGTGTGTGGGTGTGTGGGTGGGTGGGTGTGTGGGTGGGTGGGTGGGTGTGTGAGTGAGTGGGTGGGTGGATGGGTGTGTGGGTGTGTGGGTGGGTGGGTGGGTGTGTGGGTGGGTGGATGGGTGGGTGGATGTGTGGGTGGATGGATGGGTGGGTGGATGGGTGTGTGGGTGGGTGTGTGGGTGGGTGTGTGGGTGGATGGGTGTGTGGGTGGATGGGTGGGTGGGTGGGTGGATGGGTGGATGGATGTGTGGGTGGATGGATGGGTGGGTGGATGGGTGTGTGGGTGGGTGGGTGGGTGGATGGTGGGTGGGTTGGTGGGTGGGTGGATGTGTGTGGGGTGTGTGTGGGTGGGTGGGTGTGTGGGTGGGTGTGTGGGTGGGTGGGTGTGTGGGTGGGTGGGTGTGTGGGTGGGTGGGTGTGTGGGTGGGTGGGGTGTGGGTGGGTGGGTGGGTGTGTGGATGGTGGGTGGGTTGGTGGATGGGTGGGTGGGTTGGTGGATGGGTGGATGTGTGTGGGTGTGTGTGGGTGGGTGGGTGGGTGTGTGGGTGGGTGGGTGTGTGGGTGGGTGGGTGTGTGTGGGTGGGTGGGTGTGTGGGTGTGTGGGGGGGTGGGTGTGTGGGTGGGTGTGTGTGGGTGGGTGGTGTGTGGGTGGGTTGGTGGGTGGGTTTGTGGGTGGGTTGATGGGTGGGTGGGTGTGTGGGTGGGTGTGTGTGGGTGGGTGGGAGTGTGGGTGGGTGAGTGGATGGGTGGGTGGGTGTGTGTGTGGGTGGGTGAGTGTGTGGGTGGGTGGGCATGTGGGTGGGTGTGTGTGTGGGTGGGTGGGTGTGTGGATGTGTGGGTGGGTGTGTGGTTGGGTGGGTGTGTGGGTGGGTGTGTGGGTGGGTTTGTGGGTTTGTGTGTGGGTGGGTTGGTGGGTGTGTGGGTGGGTGTGTGTGTGGGTGGTATGGTGGGTGGGTGGGGGTGGGGGTGGGTTGGTGGGTGGGGGGGTGTGGGGGTGTGTGGGTGGGTGGATGGGTGGGTGGATGGGTGGGTGGGTGTGTGGGTGGGTGGATGGGTGGGTGGGTGTGTGGGTGGGTGTGTGGGTGTGTGGGTGGGTGGATGGGTGGGTGGATGGGTGGGTGGGTGTGTGGGTGGGTGTGTGTGGGTGGGTGGGAGTGTGGGTGGGTGAGTGGATGGGTGGGTGGGTGTGTGTGTGGGTGGGTGAGTGTGTGGGTGTGTGGGTGTGTGGGTGGGTGTGTGGGTGGGTGGGTGGGTGTGTGGGTGTGTGGGTGTGTGGGTGGGTGGGTGTGTGGGTGGGTGAGTGGGTGGGTGTGTGTGTGGGTGGGTGGGTGTGTGGGTGTGTGGGTGGGTGTGGGTGTGTGGTTGGGTGGGTGTGTGGGTGGGTGTGTGGGTGGGTGTGTGGGTGGGTGTGTGGGTGGGTGGTGTGGGTGGGTGTGTGGGTGGGTGTGTGGGTGGGTGTGTGGGTGGGTGCGTGGGTGTGTGGGTGGGTGGATGGGTGGGTGGGTGTGTGGGTGGGTGTGTGGGTGTGTGGGTGGGTGTGTGGGTGTGTGGGTGGGTGGGTGGGTGGGTGGGTGGATGGGTGGGTGGGTGTGTGGGTGGGTGGGTGGGTGGGTGTGTGGGTGGGTGTGGGTGGGTGGATGGGTGGGTGGGTGGATGGGTGGTGGCGTGGGTGGATGGGTGGTGGATGGGGTGGGGGATGGGTGGGTGGGTGGATGGGTGGGTGGATGTGTGGGTGGATGTGTGGGTGGATGTGTGGGTGGGTGTGTGGGTGGATGTGTGGGTGGGTGTGTGGGGGATGTGTGGGTGGGTGGGTGTGTGGAGTCTGGGTGGGTGTGTGGGTGGATGTGTGGGTGGGTGTGGGTGGATGTGTGGTGGGTGTGTGGGTGGGTGTTGTGGGTGGGTGTATGTGTGGGTGGGTGTGGGTGTGGGTGTGTGGGTGTGTGGTGGGTGTGTGGGTGGGTCGTGTGGGTGGGTGGATGTGTGGGTGGATGTGTGGGTGAATGGGTGAGTGGGGTGGATGTGTGGGTGGATGTGTGGGTGGATGTGTGGGTGGGTGGATGGGTGGTGGATGTGTGGGTGGATGTGTGGGGGTGGATGTGTGGGTGGGTGAATGTGTGAGTGGGTGGATGTGTGGGTGGGTGTGTGGGTGGATGCGTGGGTGGATGTGGGTGGATGGGTGGGTGGATGTGTGGGTGGGTGTGTGGGTGGGTGGATGTGTGGGTGGATGTATGGGTGGATGTGTGGGTGGGTGGATGTGTGGGTGGATGTGTGGGTGGATGGGTGAGTGGGTGGAGTGTGGGTGGGTGTGTGGGTGGGGTGTGGGGTGGGTGGATGTGTGGGTGGATGTGTGGGTGGATGGGTGAGTGGGTGGATGTGTGTGGGTGGATGTGTGGGTGGATGGGTGGGTGGATGGGTGGGTGGATGGGTGGGTGGGTGGATGGGTGGGTGGATGGGTGGGTGGATGTGTGGGTGGGTGGATGTGTGGGTGGGTGTGTGGGTGGATGTGTGGGTGGGTGTGGGGGTGATGTGTGGGTGGGTGGGTGTGTGGGTGGGTGGGTGAGTGGATGTGTGGGTGGGTGTGTGGGTGGATGTGTGGGTGGGTGGATGTGTGGGTGGGTGTGTGGGTGGGTGTGTGGGTGGGTGGATGTGTGGGTGGGTGTGTGGGTGGGTGTGTGGGTGGGTGTGTGGGTGGGTGGATGTGCGGGTGGATGTGTGGGTGGATGGATGTGTGGGTGGATGTGTGGGTGAATGGGTGAGTGGGTGGATGTGTGGGTGGATGTGTGGGTGGGTGGATGTGTGGGTGGATGTGTGGGTGGATGTGTGGGTGGATGTGTGGGGGTGGATGTGTGGGTGGGTGAATGTGTGAGTGGGTGGATGTGTGGGTGGGTGTTTGGGTGGATGCGTGGGTGGATGTGGGTGGATGTGTGGATGGATGTGTGAGTTGGTGGATGTGTGGTTGGATGTGTGGGTGGATGTGTGGGTGGATGTGTGAGTGGGTGGATGTGTGGGTGGGTGTGTGGGTGGGTGTGTGGGTGGGTGGATGTGTGGGTGAATGTGTGGGTGGATGTGTGGGTGGATGTGTGGGTGGATGGGTGAGTGGGTGGATGTGTGAGTGGGTGGATGTGTGGGTGGGTGTGTGGGTGGGTGTGTGGGTGGGTGGATGTGTGGGTGGATGTGTGGGTGGATGGATGTGTGGGTGGATGTGTGGGTGGATGGGTGAGTGGGTGGATGTGTGTGTGGGTGGATGTGTGGGTGGATGTGTGGGTGGATGTGTGGGGGATGTGTGTGGGGGTGGATGTGTGGGTGGGTGAATGTGTGAGTGGGTGGATGTGTGGGTGGGTGTGTGGGTGGATGTGTGGGTGGATGTGGGTGGATGTGTGGTTGGATGTGTGAGTGGGTGGATGTGTGGGTGGATTTGTGGGTGGATGTGTGAGAGTTTTTGGCTGGGTGAGTGGATGTGTGGGTGGATGTGTGGGTGGATGTGTGGGTGGATGTGTGGGTGGATGTGTGGGTGGATGTGTGAGTGTGTTTGGCTGGGTGAATTGTTTATAGTTCATTGATGTTCTCTCTCCCGTTCCCACAGGTTGGTTTGATATCGAACAGGAGAAGAATACAAATGTGTACGTCAGTGGTGAGTGATGCATACGGGGAGAGAGAGACACGGGGAGAGAGAGAGACACGGGGAGAGAGAGACATGGGGAGAGAGAGACACGGGGAGAGAGACGTGGGCAGAGTGAGACACGGGGAGAGAGACACGGGGAGAGAGAGACACGGGGAGAGAGAGAGACACGGGGAGAGAGAGAGACACGGGGATAGAGAGACACGGGGAGAGACACGGGGAGAGAGAGACACCGGGAGAGAGAGACACGGGGAGAGAGAGACACGGGGAGAGAGAGACACGGGGAGAAACACGGGGAGAGAGAGACACGGGGAGAGAGAGAGACACGCTGAGAGAGAGACACGGGGAGAGAGAGACACGGGGATAGAGAGACACGGGGAGAGAGAAACACGGGGAGAGAGAGAGACACGGGGAGAGAGAGACACGGGGAGAGAGAGACACGGGGAGAGAGAGACACGGGGAGAGAGAGAGACACGGGGAGAGAGAGAGACACGGGGAGAGAGAGACACGGGGAGAGAGAGAGACACGGGGAGAGAGAGAGACACGGGGAGAGAGAGAAACACGGGGAGAGAGAGAGACACGGGGAGAGAGAGACACGGGGAGAGAGAGACACGGGGAGAGAGAGACACGGGGAGAGAGAGACACGGGGAGAGAGAGAGACACGGGGAGAGAGAGACACGGGGAGAGAGAGAGACACGGGGAGAGAGAGAGACACGGGGAGAGAGAGAGACACGGGGAGAGAGAGACACGGGGAGAGAGACACGGGGAGAGAGAGACACGGGGAGAGAGAGACACGGGGAGAGAGACACACGGGGAGAGAGACACGGAGAGAGAGAGACACGGGGAGAGAGAGAGACATGGGGAGACAGACACGGGGAGAGAGACACGGGGAGAGAGAGAGACACGGGGAGAGAGAGACACGGGGAGAGAGAGACACGGGAAGAGAGACACGGGGAGAGAGAGAGACACGGGGAGAGAGATACGGGGAGAGAGACACGGGGAGAGAGACACACGGGGAGAGATAGACACGGGGAGAGAGAGACACGGGGATAGAGAGACACGGGGAGAGAGAAACACGGGGAGAGAGAGAGACACGGGGAGAGAGAGACACGGGGAGAGAGAGACACGGGGAGAGAGAGACACGGGGAGAGAGAGACACGGGGAGAGAGAGAGACACGGGGAGAGAGAGACACGGGGAGAGAGAGACACGGGGAGAGAGAGAGACACGGGGAGAGAGAGAAACACGGGGAGAGAGAGAGACACGGGGAGAGAGAGACACGGGGAGAGAGAGACACGGGGAGAGAGAGACACGGGGAGAGAGAGAGACACGGGGAGAGAGAGACACGGGGAGAGAGAGAGACACGGGGAGAGAGAGAGACACGGGGAGAGAGAGAGACACGGGGAGAGAGAGACACGGGGAGAGAGACACGGGGAGAGAGAGACACGGGGAGAGAGAGACACGGGGAGAGAGAGACACGGAGAGAGAGAGACACGGGGAGAGAGACATGGGGAGACAGACACGGGGAGAGAGACACACGGGGAGAGAGAGAGACACGGGGAGAGAGAGACATGGGGAGAGAGAGACACGGGAAGAGAGACACGGTGAGAGAGAGACACGGGGAGAGAGAGAGACACGGGGAGAGAGATACGGGGAGAAAGACACGGGGAGAGAGACACACGGGGAGAGAGAGACACGGGGAGAGAGACACACGGGGAGAGAGACACTGGGAGAGAGACACGGGGAGAGAGAGAGACACGGGGAGCGAGAGACATGGGTAGAGAGACACGGGGAGAGAGAGATGTGGGGAGAGAGAGACACAGGGAGAGAGACACACGGGGAGAGAGAGAGAGACACGGGGAGAGAGAGACGTGGTTGAGAGAGAGACACGGGGAGAGAGAGACACGGGGAGAGAGAGAGACACGGAGAGAGAGAGACACGGGGAGAGAGAGAGACATGGGGAGACAGACACGGGGAGAGAGAGACACGGGGAGAGAGACACACGGAGAGGGAGACACGGGGAGAGAGACACGGAGAGAGAGAGACACGGGGAGAGAGAGAGACTTGGGGAGACAGGCACGGGGAGAGAGAGACACGGGGAGAGAGACACGGGGAGAGAGAGACACGGGGAGAGAGAGACACGGGGAGAGAGAGAGACACGGGGAGAGAGAGACACGGGAGAGAGACACCGGGAGAGAGACACGGGGAGAGAGACATGGGAGAGAGAGACACGGGGAGAGAGAAACACGGGGAGAGAGAGAGACGGGGAGAGAGAGACACGGGGAGAGACAGACACGGGGAGAGAGAGAGACACGGAAAGAGAGACACGGGGAGAGAGAGAGACACGGGGAGAGAGATACGGGGAGAGAGACACGGGGAGAGAGAGACACTGGGAGAGAGACACGGGGAGAGAGAGAGACACGGGTAGAGAGACACGGGGAGAGAGAGATGTGGGGAGAGAGAGACACGGGGAGAGAGAGACACGGGGAGAGAGACACGGGGAGAGAGAGAGACACGGGGAGAGAGAGACACGGGGAGAGAGACACGGTGAGAGAGACACGGGGAGAGAGACACGGGGAGAGAGAGAGACACGGGGAGAGAGAGAGACACGGGGAGAGAGAGAGGACACGGGGAGAGAGATACGGGGAGAGAGACACGGGGAGAGAGAGAGACACGGGGAGAGAGACACGGGGCGAGAGACACACGGGGAGAGAGAGACACGGGGAGAGAGACACACGGGGAGAGAGACACTTGGAGAGAGAGAGACACGGGGAGCGAGAGACACGGGGAGAAAGACACGGGGAGAGAGAGATGTGGGGAGAGAGAGACACAGGGAGAGAGACACACGGGGAGAGAGAGAGAGACACGGGGAGAGAGAGACGTGGTTGAGAGAGAGACACGGGGAGAGAGAGAGACACGGGAGAGACACGGGGAGAGAGACACGGGGAGAGACACGGGGAGAGAGACACGGGGAGAGAGACACGGGGAGAGAAAGACACGGGGAGAGAGAGATACGGGGAGAGAGACACGGAGAGAGAGAGACACGGGGAGAGAGAGATACATGGGGAGACAGACACGGGGAGAGAGAGAAACACGGGGAGAGAGAGAGACACGGGGAGAGAGAGACACGGAGAGAGAGACACGGGGAGAGAGAGACACGGAGAGAGAGACACGGGGAGAGAGAGACACGGGGAGAGAGACACGGGGAGAGAAAGACACGGGGAGAGAGAGACATGGGGAGAGAGACACGGGGAGAGACACGGGGAGAGAGACACGGGGAGAGACCCGGGGAGAGACACGGGGAGAGAGACACGGGGAGAGACACGGGGAGAGAGAGACACGGGGAGAGAGAGACACGGGGAGAGAGAGACACGGGGAGAGAGAGAGACACGGGGAGAGAGACACGGGGAGAGAGACACGGGGAGAGAGACACCGGGAGAGAGACACGGGGAGAGAGACATGGGGAGAGAGACATGGGGAGAGAGAGACACGGGGAGAGAGAAACACGGGGAGAGAGAGAGACGGGGAGAGAGAGACACGGGGAGAGACAGACACGGGGAGAGAGAGAGACACGGGAAGAGAGACACGGGGAGAGAGAGAGACACGGGGAGAGAGATACGGGGAGAGAGACACGGGGAGAGAGAGACACTGGGAGAGAGACACGGGGAGAGAGAGAGACACGGGGAGCGAGAGACACGGGTAGAGAGACACGGGGAGAGAGAGATGTGGGGAGAGAGAGACACGGGGAGAGAGAGACACGGGGAGAGAGAGACACGGGGAGAGAGACACGGGGAGAGAGAGACACGGGGAGATAGACACGGGGAAAGAGAGAGACACGGGGAGAGAGAGAGACACGGGGAGAGAGAGAGACACGGGGAGAGAGATACGGGGAGAGAGAGAGAGAGAGACACGGGGAGAGAGAGAGACACGGGGAGAGAGACACGGGGAGAGAGACACACGGGGAGAGAGAGACACGGGGAGAGAGACACACGGGGAGAGAGAGAGACACGGGGAGCGAGAGACACGGGGAGAAAGACACGGGGAGAGAGAGATGTGGGGAGAGAGAGACACAGGGAGAGAGACACACGGGGAGAGAGAGAGAGACACGGGGAGAGAGAGACGTGGTTGAGAGAGAGACACGGGGAGAGAGAGACACGGGGAGAGAGAGAGACACGGGGAGAGACACGGGGAGAGAGACACGGGGAGAGACACGGGGAGAGAGACACGGGGAGAGAGACACGGGGAGAGAGAGACACGGGGAGAGAGAGACACGGGGAGAGAGACACGGAGAGAGAGAGACACGGGGAGAGAGAGATACATGGGGAGACAGACACGGGGAGAGAGAGACACGGGGAGAGAGACACGGGGAGAGAGAGACACGGGGAGAGAGACATGGGGAGAGAGAGACACGGGGAGAGAGAGACACGGAGAGAGAGACACGGGGAGAGAGAGACACGGGGAGAGAGACACGGGGAGAGAAAGACACGGGGAGAGAGAGACATGGGGAGAGAGACACGGGGAGAGAGACACGGGGAGAGAGACACGGGGAGAGACACGGGGAGAGAGAGACATGGGGAGAGAGACCCGGGGAGAGACACGGGGAGAGAGACACGGGGAGAGAGACACGGGGAGAGAGAGACATGGGGAGAGAGACACGGGGAGAGTGTGTTGGTAGTTCTGATTGTGGTTGTATACAGTGGTATATATATATGGAGGAGGCTCGTGAAGGACGCTGCCCCTGGGCAGTGCCAGGCTAGGTGCACCTTGAGGACGCTGCTACTGGGCCATTGGGAGGCAGTCGCCCTCCAACAACAACGGAGGGCCGAGGAGCGACGCTCACAACAACGAGCGGAGCGCCGGGCGGGTAAAACGCAGCGAGTTGGCACAGTAGGGGGTGGGGTACAGCTGCACCTAGCCTGGCACAGCAGCAGTACAACCCGTGGCACCTGCAGGGTCTGTCACGTGACCTCCTCCTCGTGCACCTAGCCTGGCACGGCAGTCGACACCTCACGTGGTAGTGGTTGTTGTGGTGGTTGTAGTGGTTGTGGTGGTAGTGGTTGTGGTTATAATTGTGGTTGTGGTGGTAGTGGTTGTGGTGATATTGGTTATAGTTCTGGTGCTTGTGGTGGTTGTAGTAGTTGTTGTGGTAGTTGTGGTTGGTGTGGTGGTAGTGGTTGTGGTGGTAGTGGTTGTGGTGGTAGTGGTTGTGATGGTAATGGTTGTGATGGTAGTGGTTGTGATGGTAGTGGTTGTGGTGGTAGTGGTAGTTGTGGTGGTGGTGGTTGTGGTGGTGGTTGTTGTGGTTATAGTTATGGTGGTTGTAGTATTTGTTGTTGTGGTGATTGTGGTGGTAGTGGTGGTTGTGATGGTAGTGGTTGTGGTGGTAGTGGTTGTGATGGTAGTGGTTGTGGTGGTTGTGATGGTAGTGGTTGTGATGGTTGTGGTTGTGGTGGTAGTGGTTGTGGTGGTAGTGGTTGTAGTGGTTGTGGTGGTAGTGGTTGTGGTAGTTGTGGTGGTTGTGGTGATAGTGGTTGTGGTTATAGTTCTGGTGGTTGTAGTAGTTGTTATGGTGGTAGTGGTTGTGATGGTAGTGGTTGTGATGGTAGTTATGGTGGTTGTAGTAGTTGTTGTTGTTGTGGTGGTAGTGGTTTTCGTGGTTGTGGTGATAGTGTTTGTGGTTATATTTCTGGTGCTTTTGGTGGTTGTAGTAGTTGTTGTTGTGGTGGTTGTGGTGGTAGTGGTTGTGGTAGTTGTGGTGGTTTGTGGTGGTAGTGGTTGTGATGGTAGTGGTTGTGGTGGTAGTGGTTGTGGTAGTCGTAGTTGTGGTGGTGGTTGTGGTAGTGGTAGTTGTGGTGGTGGTTGTGGTGGTAGTGGTTGTGGTAGTTGTGGTGGTAGTGGTTGTGGTGGTAGTGGTTGTGGTGGTAGTGGTTGTGATGGTAGTGATTGTGGTAGTGGTTGTGGTGGTGGTGGTTGTGGTGGTAGTGGTTATAGGTATGGTGGTTGTAGTAGTTGTTGTTGTGGTGGTGGTGTTTGTGGTAGTTGTGGTGGTGGTGGTTGTGATGGTAGTTGTTGTGGTGGTAGTGTTTGTGGTTATAGTTATGGTGGTTGTAGTAGTTGTTGTTGTGGTGGTAGTGGTTGTGATGGTAGTTGTTGTGATGGTAGTGGTTGTGATGGTAGTGGTTGTGGTGGTAGTGGTTGTGTTAGTTGTGGTGGTGGTGGTTGTGGTGATAGTGGTTGTGGTGGTGGTGGCTCTGGTGGTGGTGGTTGTGGTTGTGATGGTAGTGGTTGTGGTGGTAGTGGTTGTGGTGGTAGTGGTTGTGTTAGTTGTGGTGGTGGTTGTGGTGATAGTGGTTGTGGTGGTGGTTGTGATGGTAGTGGTTGTGGTGGTAGTGGTTGTGGTTATAGTGGTTGTAGTTGTAGTTATGGTGGTTGTAGTAGTTGTTGTTGTGGTGGTAGTGGTTGTGTTAGTTGTGGTGGTTGTGGTTATAGTGGTTGTGGTTAAAGTTATGGTGGTTGTAGTAGTTGTTGTTGTGGTGGTAGTGGTTGTGTTAGTTGTGGTGGTGGTGGTTGTGATGGTAGTGGTTTTGGTGGTAATGGTTGTGGTTATAGTTGTGGTGGTTGTAGTAGTTGTTGTTGTGGTGGTAGTGGTTGTGTTAGTTGTGGTGGTGGTTGTGGTTGTGATGGTAGTAGTTGTGGTGGTAGTGGTTGTGGTTATAGTTATTGTGCTTGTAGTGGTTGTGATGGTAGTGGTTGTGATGGTAGTGGTTGTGGCTCTAGTGGTGGTGGTGGTTGTGGTATTTGCCAGGGCTGCCCACGGACATCACGCAGGAGGAGTTTGAGGAGCTAATGTCCAAGTGTGGCATCGTCGTCAGAGATCCGGCCACGGGCAACCTCAAGTGCAAGTTGTACCGGGATTCAGTGACGGACACACTCAAGGGTGATGGGATCTGCTGCTACCTCAAGGTGGGTGGGTGGGTGGGTGAGTGAGTGAGTGAGTGAGTGGGCGGGTGGGTGAGTGGGCGGGTGGGTGAGTGAGTGGGTGAGTGGGTGAGTGAGTGAGTGAGTGGGCGGGTGAGTGACGGACACACTCAAGGGTGATGGGATCTGCTGCTACCTCAAGGTGGGTGGGTGGGCGGGTGAGTGAGTGAGTGAGTGGGCGGGTGGGTGAGTGGGCGGGTGGGTGAGTGAGTGAGTGAGTGGGTGAGTGAGTGAGTGAGTGGGCGGGTGAGTGACGGACACACTCAAGGGTGATGGGATCTGCTGCTACCTCAAGGTGGGTGGGTGGGTGGGTGAGTGAGTGAGTGGGCGGGTGGTGAGTGGGCGGGTGGGTGAGTGAGTGAGTGAGTGGGTGAGTGAGTGAGTGAGTGGGCGGGTGAGTGACGGACACACTCAAGGGTGATGGGATCTGCTGCTACCTCAAGGTGGGTGGGTGGGCGGGTGAGTGAGTGGGTGAGTGAGTGGGTGAGTGAGTGAGTGAATGGGTGAGTGGGTGGGTGAGTGAGTGAATGGGTGAGTGGGTGGGTGAGTGAGCGGGCGGGTGAGTGACGGACACACTCAAGGGTGATGGGATCTGCTGCTACCTCAATGTGGGTGGGTGGGTGAGTGAGTGAGTGAGTGGGCGGGTGGGTGGGCGGGTGAGTGGGCGGGTGGGTGGGCGGGTGGGTGAGTGGGTGAGTGGGTGAGTGAGTAAGCGAGTGAGTGGGCGGGTGGGTGAGTGAGTGGGTGAGTGAGCGAGTCGGTGAGTGAGTGGGTGAGTGGGTGGGTGAGTGGGCGGGTGGGTGAGTGAGTGGGTGAGTGGGCGGGTGAGTGGGTGGGTGAGTGAGTAAGCGAGTGAGTGGGCGGGTGGGTGAGTGAGTGGGTGAGTGGGCGGGTGAGTGGGTGGGTGAGTGACGGACACACTCAAGGGTGATGGGATCTGCTGCTACCTCAAGGTGGGTGGGTGGGCGGGTGGGTGAGTGAGTGAGTGGGTGAGTGTCTAAGCGGGTGTCTAAGCGGGTGACTAAGCGAGTGTCTAAGCGGGTGACTGAGCGGGTGACTAAGCGGGTGTCTAAGCAGGTGTCTAAGCGGGTGTCTATGCGGGTGACTAAGCGAGTGTCTAAGCGGGTGTCTAAGCGGGTGACTAAGCGGGTGACTAAGCGGGTGTCTAAGCGGGTGTCTAAGCAGGTGACTAAGCGAGTGTCTAAGCGGGTGACTAAGCGAGTGTCTAAGCGGGTGTCTAAGCGGGTGTCTAAGCGGGTGTCTAAGCGGGTGTCTAAGCGGGTGACTAAGCGAGTGTCTAAGCGGGTGACTAAGCGGGTGTCGAAGCGGGTGTCTAAGCGAGTGTCTAAGCGGGTGACTAAGCGGGTGTCTAAGCGGGTGTCTAAGTGGGTGACTAAGCGGGTGTCTAAGCGAGTGTCTAAGCGGGTGTCTAAGCGGGTGACTAAGCGGGTGTCTAAGCGGGTGTCTAAGCGGGTGTCTAAGCAGGTGACTAAGCGAGTGTCTAAGCGGGTCACTAAGCGGGTGTCTAAGCGGGTGTCTAAGCGGGTGACTAAGCAGGTGTCTAAGCGGGTGACTAAGCGGGTGTCTAAGCGGGTGTCTAAGCGGGTGACTAAGCGGGTGTCTAAGCGAGTGTCTAAGCGGGTGTCTAAGCGGGTGACTAAGCGGGTGACTAAGCGGGTGTCTAAGCGAGTGTCTAAGCGGGTGTCTAAGCGGGTGACTAAGCGGGTGTCTAAGCGGGTGTCTAAGCGGGTGACTAAGCGGGTGTCTAAGCGGGTGTCTAAGCGGGTGTCTAAGCGGGTGTCTAAGCGGGTGTCTAAGCGGGTGTCTAAGTGGGTGTCTAAGCGGGTGTCTAAGTGTGTGTCTAAGCGGGTGTCTAAGCGGGTGTCTAAGCGGGTGTCTAAGCGGGTGTCTAAGCGAGTGTCTAAGCGGGTGTTTAAGCGGGTGTCTAAGCGAGTGTCTAAGCGGGTGTCTAAGCGGGTGACTAAGCGGGTGACTAAGCGGGTGTCTAAGCGGGTGTCTAAGCGGGTGTCTAAGCGGGTGTCTAAGCGAGTGTCTAAGCGGGTGTCTAAGCGGGTGTCTAAGCGAGTGTCTAAGCGGGTGTCTAAGCGGGTGACTAAGCGGGTGACTAAGCGGGTGTCTAAGCGAGTGTCTAAGCGGGTGTCTAAGCGGGTGTCTAAGCGGGTGTCTTAAGCGGGTGTCTAAGTGAGTGTCTAAGCGGGTGTCTAAGCGGGTGACTAAGCGGGTGTCTAAGTGAGTGTCTAAGCGGGTGTCTAAGCGGGTGACTGAGCGGGTGACTGAGCGGGTGACTAAGCGGGTCACTAAGGGGGTGACTAAGGGGTGACTAAGCGGGTGACTAAGGGGTGACTAAGCGGGTGACTAAGGGGGTGACTAAGGGGTGACTAAGCGGGTGACTAAGCGAGTGACTAACCGGGTGACTAAGCGGGTGTCTAAGCGGGTGACTAACCGGGTGACTAAGCGGGTGTCTAAGCGAGTGTCTAAGCGGGTGTCTAAGCGGGTGACTAAGCGAGTGACTAACCGGGTGTCTAAGCGAGTGTCTAAGCGGGTGACTAACCGGGTGACTAAGCGGGTGTCTAAGCGAGTGTCTAAGCGGGTGTCTAAGCGGGTGACTAAGCGGGTGTCTAGGCGGGTGACTAAGCGGGTGACTAAGCAGGTGACTAAGCGGGTGTCTAGGCGGGCGACTAAGCGGGTGACTAAGCGAGTGTCTAAGCGGGTGTCTATGTGGGTGACTAAGCGTGTGACTAAGCGGGTGACTAAGGGGTGACTGAGCGGGTGACTAAGCGGGTGACTAAGGGGTGACTGAGCGAGTGACTGAGCGAGTGACTAAGGGGTGACTAAGGGGTGACTGAGCGAGTGAGTGACTGAGCGAGTGACTGAGCGAGTGACTGAGTGAGTGACTGAGTGACTGAGCGACTGAGCGAGCGAGTGACTAAGCGGTTGTCTAAGCGGGTGACTGAGTGACTAAGCGAGTGACTGAGCGAGTGACTGAGCGAGTGACTGAGCGAGTGACTGAGCGAGTGAATGAGCGACTAAGCGAGTGACTGAGTGACTAAGCGAGTGACTGAGTGACTAAGCGAGTGACTGAGTGACTAAACGGGTGACTAAGCGAGTGACTGAGCGAGCGAGTGACTGAGTGACTGAGTGACTGAGCGACTGAGCGAGCGACTGAGCGAGTGAAGGAGTTACTGAGTGAGTGACTGAGCGACTGAGCGGGTGACTAAACGGGTGACTAAGCGAGTGACAGAGTGACTAAGCGGGTGACTAAGCGGGTGACTGAGTGACTAAACGGGTGACTAAGCGGGTGACTAAGCGGGTGACTCGCCCCTCCCAGAGGGAGTCTGTGGAGCTGGTCATGCGCCTGCTGGATGAGAGCTCCCTGAGGGGCTGCACCGTCAAAGTGGAGGCCGCTCGCTTGAGTGAGCGAGTGACTGAGCCGGTGACTGAGCGAGTGAATGAGCGACTAAGCGAGTGACTGAGTGACTAAGCGAGTGACTGAGCGAGTGACTGAGCGAGTGACTGAGCGAGTGAATGAGCGACTAAGCGAGTGACTGAGTGACTAAGCGAGTGACTGAGTGACTAAACGGGTGACTAAGCGAGTGACTGAGCGAGCGAGTGACTGAGTGAGTGACTGAGTGAGTGACTGAGCGAGTGACTGAGTGACTGAGCGAGTGATTGAGTGAGTGACTGAGCGAGTGACTAAGCGAGTGACTGAGCGAGTGACTGAGTGAGTGACTGAGCGGGTGACTGAGTGACTGAGCGAGTGACTGAGCGGGTGACTGAGTGAGTGAGCGAGTGACTGAGTGAGTGACTGAGCGAGTGACTGAGCGAGTGACTGAGTGAGTGACTGAGCGAGTGACTGAGCGGGTGACTGAGTGACTGAGCGAGTGATTGAGTGAGTGACTGAGCGAGTGACTAAGCGGGTGACTGAGCGAGTGACTGAGTGACTAAGCGGGTGACTGTGCGAATGACTGAGCGAGTGACTGAGCGAGTGTCTGAGTGAGTGAGCGACTGAGCGAGTGAGTGACTGAGCGAGAGACTGAGTGAGTGACTGAGCGAGTGAATGAGTGACTGAGTGACTGAGCGGGTGTCTAAGCGGGTGACTGAGTGACTAAGCGAGTGACAGAGTGACTAAGCGGGTGACTGAGCGAGTGACTGAGCGAGTGACTGAGTGAGTGACTGACTGAGTGACTGAGCGAGTGACTGACTGAGTGACTGAGTGACTAAGCGAGAGTTTGAGTGAGTGAGTGAGCGAGTGAATGAGCGGGTGACTGAGTGACTGAGTGAGTAACTGAGCGGGTGAGCGACTGAGCGAGTGAGTGACTGAGCGAGAGACTGAGTGAGTGACTGAGCGAGTGAATGAGTGACTGAGTGACTGAGCGGGTGTCTAAGCGGGTGACTGAGTGACTAACCGGGTGACTAAATGGGTGACTAAGCGAGTGACAGAGCGACTAAGCGGGTGACTGAGCGGGTGACTGAGTGACTAAGCGGGTGACTAAACGGGTGACTAAGCGGGTGACTCGCCCCTCCCAGAGGGAGTCTGTGGAGCTGGCCATGCGCCTGCTGGATGAGAGCTCCCTGAGGGGCTGCACCGTCAAAGTGGAGGCCGCTCGCTTGAGTGAGCGAGTGACTGAGCGAGTGACTGAGTGACTAAGCGGGTGACTGTGCGAATGACTAAGTGACTGAGCGAGTGACTGAGTGACTGAGCGAGTGACTGAGTGAGTGACTGAGTGACTGAGCGAGTGACTAAGTGACTGAGCGAGTGACTGAGTGACTGAGCGAGTGACTGAGTGAGTGACTGAGCGAGAGTTTGAGTGAGTGACTGAGTGAGTGACTGAGTGAGTGACTGAGTGAGTGACTGAGCGAGTGACTGAGTGAGTGACTGAGCGAGAGTTTGAGTGAGTGACTGAGTGAGTGACTGAGTGAGTGACTGAGTGAGTGAATGAGCGACTGAGTGACTGAGTGAGTGA